GATTAAGGGTGATTAACTTCTAGAAACGATAGCAACGATACAATTTTCTCTGTGCAAAACTGTAGACAGGTCAACCGAACATATGGACCCTTGCACAGTGAACTGCTCAAGAATGAACATGAGTTCTAAGACTATTCTGTTAAATCGTTAGGAACCCATTTGCTTCCAAAAAACAATGTCTTTGTCTTTTAAGTAGCCCCAAAGTAAAGGAGAATCTCGCGAAATGCTCTCTACTCTCAGACATCTCTAAGATCCTCGACCCATTTGGCTGGTTGAATCAAACGACACTTACGATAAGACTCATAATTCAACCATTAATTCATGATTGCGAAAAATCATTTGGGACAATAAACTCCAATTATATGATGGAGATCTTTCTGAGAAGGAGGACTGTAAATCATATTTTGGAGAAATTTGACCTACAAAGACATGTTGTGGAGGATTGGTTTGAGACTCATTTTTACTGCGATGCATCAGAATCATCATACTCCAGTTGTGTCTATATTAAGAACGTAGCAATGAAAAAACCTGCTAGTGATTGAATCAAGAGTGAATTTTTGACGATCAAGAGACGCTGCCTCAGAGTGAAAGTTGTTCAACAAGAAAAAGATGGGGTGTAATGTTTTATAGGTCCTGAATTGTAATTTAGCGTACAATACGTAGTGCAGACACAAGTTTAAAGCATTTGAGGTCTATTTTGACATTTGGAAAAATTTCCTCGTAAACAAAAAAAATTAAAGGTTCCGTGTCGTATTATACACAGTGAAGCAGGCAAAAGCGGTTCCCCTGCCTCTAATATAAAACTGAATGAAATGGTTATATCACTCTGGGAGTAAATTTCCAGCTAATTCTAGCTGAATTGGTCGGCTCTTGAACCAATCTTTTTTTCGATGAGAAACCAGAAGAAGACAAAAAATTGTTCTACGTGCTGATTTACTATCGACTGATTATTTGCGGAAAAAGTTATAAATAGGAGTTAAATTGAATCTGGTAGCCAAAAAAACAATGAATCGTTTCATAAGATCGGGTTCAATATCAGCCCAACTTAGTACCAGACAAAAAACTCGAAAAAAAATCAATCCCATTTTTTTTATCTCAAAAGAAAACAAAAACTCCACTTATAAATTTCCTCTACTTATTTAAAAAAATTTTAATAGAAAAAAATTTCGGCAGATCTCAATTGAATGCGTGGTTGCATCTTTTGGCAGGATAAAAATCTCAAAAATTTTTTAAAAAAATTGGCCCGAAACGGTTCGATCAAAAGCCTTCAAAAATATTCGCCAAACTTTGGCTCAAAACCCATAAAATCCAAATGTAATAAAACAGTTAAGACTTTTTTGTTTTGCCTAGATTTTTTTTGAATATATGTTTGATAGGCAGAGCAAAAACACCCACCCAAGCGCTTATACCAAATTAAGCAAAAACAAGTAAGCTTTTCCACTTCAGTTCTTTAATGTAGACCAATTCATTCTGCTTTGAGAACTACCAAACGTACTAGTCACCTGTATCTCGAAAGAATGAGGATCTGGGCCTCAAACTTTGATTGTATAGCGAGTTTCAGGTTACATGAATGTCAATGTATGCACCAGCTGTGTTTTTCTACCGTCCCAAAGACAAAAATACAACAAAGCATAGCAGATGCCTTGACGAAATAGAATTTTTAGCGAAGCTCAAACGAATTCTGCCCACGCAGTGGATTGGTTATCATCATCATCATCATCATCATCATCATCAAATTGTTTTACACAGTCATCTTGGCTTCGACGGTGGAGTCATCAGTTTCTGTCAGTGGTTTTTTTTTGTTTAAACTGCTGTCAAGTCGTCAAATATTGCAGGGTAGTATTTCACATTTTCTTCGGAAAACCTGAGAGCGGCCATTTGCTCGTATCCAGTTGTCAAAGGCAAAATTTTAGAGAATGACTCATTTATTTTAAATCTTTGCTTTTTTCTGCTCAGATAGGAAGTTATTAATTTCCGGTATTTGATTCCTAGACCCATTAGGTTTTCCAGTATATCTATTAGAATCGTGTGATTCATGGTATCAAATGCTGCTAATAAATCGAGAACAATAACAAAGTTTGTCTTCTTGCAGTCCAAAAAATTCAAAAAAAAAATTAAAAATAATGCGTCAAATAGAAACATGGAACCCTATGAGATGCAATAAAACTGGTGATTTTGATTCTGCTGATGGAAACCGTGACGACAAAAATACTCTGGAGGGCCTGAGAGATTACCAATTGCCTATATCTTGTTTGTAAATGATTCCTTCATAAAAAGTTTTTCAATGTAAAACCCCGTTATTTCTTCAAAAGTTGAGAGCTCAACAAAATTCGATAAACAAAACGAGTTAATTGACACTGAAGCCAGCGGGAATAACTGAACTGCAAATGAGCAGGCTTCGTTGCTTTTGTGAATTTCGCACGACACTGTCTGACAATGGCTGGTTAATTGATTATTCAATTCAAAGAGTACAAAATTGATTTTACCGGCAATACTTTTGACCAACTGGCGATAGATGACATCGGAAACATTGAAGCTGTGAAGTTGTTTTGTGTACTACAAAAAGGGTTTTCAATACATTTTTTAGTTTTATTTGAAATCTTGATTCTGGGCTGTTTTTAAGCGGTTTTTTATAGAGCAAAGTATGTTTGCTGTTTAATTCGTAAGTAATTTTTCAATCATTGCCAAGTTTATAATAAATAATGTTTGGACTCTTTGCATTGAACAGGTTGTTCATTCTGACGTTCGAACTTGTTTTTACCTTTTCAAACTAGGTTTTATCTATTCTAGAGCAGCTAAGAAGATGACAACTCGACTACCTTCCAACTCTGGAATGGCAAATCTATTTGGTTTCTTGCCGAAGTCACTAACCTCAAAGGATTTTAAGTATGGACTCAACATCGCAGCAAAGGAAACCCATTGAACCAGACCAATGGCCATCTCCAGTTGATCTCGCATACCTAGTCACTTGGCACTTCACAAGGAAAAGTCAAATTTCACCCTGCGCGTAGTCTTGCTCTAAATTTAATGAAAACGATACATCATTGCATCAATCAGAAATCTTGACAAAATCGTTCAAGACTAACACGAACAAAACAATCTTCTTTCATCTACACGAACAACTACATCTCTCCCCTCTTCAAGAAGTCACTGCTCAAAACTTCTAAAGGAAACTACATCACCCGTCCTTCACTACAATAAGCAAAAAAAAACTAAAAGCTCTCTTAACCCCGAATGAGTGGAACCAGTTCTAAGCTAGTATTTATATCCAATTATATTTTTGAGAAAACTAGCACTTTAAAATATTACTAACTAATCAATCATATTCCATCGCTAACTTTGACACTTATTTGTAAGTGCTGAAACTACTTGTAGTTTCAGCACTAGAACACTTTGAATAAATTTGAGACTACAGTTGTTCTCCTTCTGTATAAACTCCAAGAACTAACTCGCGGAAACCAGTATACACTAGATCTATTGAGACTAGGAGATATAACAGTAAGACTAAGATTGGTATTAGACTAAGAAAATGCACGAATCTATCCGGCCGAAAAAAAGATAGCGTGACGAGCAGACGGTGTACCTTATCTGAATTTACTCTATGAGTACAGGCCAAAAGTCATAACTCAAAAATGATGGTTTAGCAGAACATATAAATAAAAATATAGCAGGGTACAAATAATAATAACCTATAAAAATTTAAGGGCAAGGGCTTAGATGTTCTGTTGATACTATTGCCTGTTCTTTCCTAGTTTCTTCCCGATAAATTTTTGATTTTCAAATCTCAAATTGGGATTACTTTGTTTGAATAAATATATTTTTTCTTTTTTTCTTTCAGGAGACGTGACTTTACACTATCATCCAGTAGCGTGCCGAGGGGGGGGGGCGGCGCGACCGCCTCTTCCCTCAACCCCGGTTGCCAAATTTTTCCAAAGGTTACCCACTTTGGTATAACTTTATGACATCCATTTTTTGCTGAACAACCTGAAAATGTTCTTAAGGCGCCTTCGGCTCCAATATGACTAATTTTGATGGGGAAGCTTGAATTTTGGTCAAAATTTTCCAAAAACTGCCTAAACACGCCTTTTTTGGCCAACTTTTTGACAAAAAAAACACGCTGTTTTTGGCCTGTTTTTGACAAAATGTTTCATAAAATAGGGTACTTATACTATTTTGGTAGAGGTCGTTAAATCAAATTGGTCGATCTATAAAAGAGATCGGCAAAATTTTCCAAATTTTTCAGAAGACCGCCCCCCCCCCCCCCCGCCTAGAAAAATTTCTGCGCACGCCACTGCCATCATCTTATAGTTGCTTTTTACGACATCCAATTTTGGTGGAACAATCAAGTTTTTTAAAACGCTTTTTTAGCGTCGAGAAACACTTTCAGGGGAAGCATTTGCCAAAAAAAAAATCTAACTATTTGGTCAAAACCAATCAAAATATGCCCCGCAAGATCATGTTTTGAAAACTTTAATTTTCAAAAGTTTTTGTAAAATCAAATTGACCGAACTAAAAAAGTCACAATTTTTTTTTTGTGACAATCCGCTCTCTCGAGAAAATACGTTTTTTGGCATCTTCAAATCGCCAACTTTTTTTTTACCTCAAAATTTTAATTTTCTTGATGATAGTGTCTGCTCAAAAACAGCTTGAAATAAAGCAAAGTTAGAGTGGCATTCGCACGGCAGCGAGGTTTTCAGAGAAACCTCGAGTCGGGTATGAATTAGTTTTCGGTTCTTAAAAAATTAAATATTTTCAGTCAGTATTTTTTAAAGGCTAATTCTATAAAAATGCCATTATATTAATATCCATGTGCATATTAAATTTGCACATATATATTTTGAGCAATCCGTTGCTTAAGTTGTCTTGATAAAAGATATATCTATAATAGTGAACCGTTTAGTAAACAAAAAGCTAGCATAGTTTTTCAAATTTTCATCATATTTTGCTAATTAATCAATTAAACAAAATCAGAAACTAAAATTTTTCTCGAAAACTAGAAAAAAATGAATTACTTAATTTTCAACAGGTGTTCACATAAAATCTATATATTGCTTGAGTCTGTGCTTTGCTGTCTAATACCGAGGAAGGTGGGACAACTTGGGCTGAGGTGAAACTGCGAATACTCATCTACTGTGTTCTTATTTTGATCATCAAGATCTTCAGTTTGTTCATGAGTATTCGGTGCCGATGAGTCATTAACTTGGCCCCCGCTATTCAACATGCTTTTCATTTCTCTAATAACTGCGTCACTAATGACATCTGCTTCTGTATTTTCATCATCATCAGCATCGTCGCAGAAATCATCGAAGTTTTCTGCATTGCCGAAATCCAAGTCAATGTCGATGTCGTCATCATCGATGGGGTCTTCGCAGATAGTGTCATCAAACCCGTTGTCTGCATAAGCAGTTCCACTGTACATTTTGGCACCAACTTGACTGCTTCTACCACCCTCTACTTCTTGGTCAGTGTGGTCTGCAGCATTACTGTGTCTGTGGCTGGAAATGAGACTCTGGCTCATCTGTTCTCCACTGCCGCACTCTGATTCCAGAATGGTGTCACAGTGGTCTACTTTGGCGTGGCATGTGAAGTGGTTACCTGGTGAATAAACAAAGGGGGGGGGGGGTAAACATGCTTTTCCAATGATTTTTGTATTTGATAAAAGAAATTGCTAACAAAGTTTGATTACCTCCGTAAAAAAATTGGTGAACAGAATTTTAGGATAGCATGATGAAAATTAGAACGGGTTCAAGTGGTACGACTGGGGCAGACGCCTAGGAACTTGAGCTCTTTGCCACCCTTTGGAATCCTTTATAACAGTTAACAACAGGAGCGATAATAGTGAAAGAACGACCCTTCTTTGGTAGCATTTTCTGGCATTCTTTTTTGGTCGATCAACTCTAAACTTGGCGTACTGTAGGAGCGCAGGCCAATTTTTCAGGAAAGGCTTTTCAAAAATTTTCAGGAAAGGCATTCAATGGGTTTTCAAATTTAGTTTCGGAAAAGTGTTTCGGAAAAGCTAAGAAAATCAATTTTGTACACTCACTATAAAAAAAACACGACACAATTTTTGAAAATGGGCTCTTATTTTGGGTTTATTTTTTCACCAACCCTGCTTCGGTGATTTGGCTAGCTTTGGACTAATGGTGTTGTTGTTATTGTTGGCGTGAGTTCCGGCGGCGGAGGAGTGTCCGGAGCTGTTGTTGGTTCTGGTGGGGCTGCAGCCAGAGGGGTGGGTGCTCTCCAGCAGAACAGACAGCTTGCGCATGGTCAAACGGGCCACATTGCTCACCAGTTCATCCTACAACACCAAAACACTTAAACTCATTGAATTGTTGAACGAAATTGCATATTAGAACAAGTGAACAAGTAAGCTTAAAATGAAGACCACCTATCCACATTGAAGGAACAGAAGGAACAAAGGAGCAACCAATGTTGTGTCCCTGTTTAAAACTACATGCGTTTTTTGATCAGTTTTTAGTTGTGAGAATTTTGCCTCAACCGCAGACAACCAGCTCATGTCATGGTAGGTCTCGAACCATTGACCTATCGATTGACAGCTTAGCCACATCAGAAAAATCCTCTTAAAATAAGAAAAGTCCTCTTACAAAAGATTTCACATTTTTTGAGTTTCTGAATCTCAAAATACAATTTGCTGATCTGTTGGGGCAGCAACAAAGTCTCAATCTTTAATCAAATTTGTTATAGGAAAAACAACATTTCGGATCCAAAATTCAATATTGCTTCCCTGGTTTAAAATGTTCAGCTCGGAGTCAGCTTCCAATCTTAGGTTTTGTGTGGGTTCTGCAGCCATTCAGATGGAATAGTTATTTCTACTCACATTAATGTGGACGTCGTGTGTTTCCCCATCCGAGTTATCGTTGTCACTGTTGTTATTGTTGTTGTTGTTGTCATGACTTCTCATGTTGGAGTGTGTGTTTAGGATGAGGCTGTTGATGAGGGAGTGGGGCTTGAACTTGCTCTTCAGGAACACCTGACTCGGCTTCCTCCCCAACTGCGTCAGCCGCAGTCTCGCAACCTAAATAAATGTCAGCTTTAACCAAGAATAGACGTTTGTCGTGCAAGAAGCTCAGAAAACTCCGACAAAAAACCATAAAAAACGCAGAAAATTCCGACAAAGTTCATTAAAAAATGATCAATTGAGCAATCTCCCCCCCCCCCATTCTCGCGTGGGGGGGAGATAGCTCAATAAGTACTTCAGACATGTTTATAGCCACTTGAAAATAGTTTGAATGATATGATAATATGAACGAGATTCTCCAACGAATATGGAACGCCAACTCTTACAATATCAAAGCTCAAAAATTCAGAGTGAAAATAAAATCAATAAAACTGAGGCACATAAACGACTTTTTTCTGTCCTAAATAAAAAAAAAGCTATTGCGTACAATAGCAAGGTACTGAAGAGAGCTTTTTTGGTATTCAGATACAAGTTCAGAGCAGGGGTTCGAAACCCTGATGAAAGGGCGTCCATAGCCACCCCTCCCTCCTAAATCCGCTGGTGGCTCAGCATAAAATAAAAATGCGGAATGGACTTAAAATTTGCGCAATCCGCTTACATTTGTGGATTTCGCTTACAAATTTTTTGAGTTCCATTCAATGTGAAATCAACTTACATTTTGCGGAATCCGCGAACAATTGCGGAATCCAATTACATTTTGCGGAATCCGCGACCAGTTGTGGAATCCAGAACAACTAGCTATATTCCCTTATCGCTTGTTGTGGAATACGCGACAGAGCAAATGAGCCGACAAAATTTAAGCTGCAGATATTTGTATTGTGAATCCACAAAAATTTTGTAACTGGAATCCATTTACATTTAAGAACATGTTTAAAGACTTGTCTCTGGATTCCAGGAACATAAAGACACCAAATTGAGCGCCTATCTAGTGCAGAATTTGGCCTCATAATGTTTTTTTAAACTTAAGTCGTCAAAGAAATCCTGTAGGAAGCTCCAAAACTAATTTTCCTGGCGTAAATCTTAGTTTTCTCTCGGATTCAATAAAATTTCTCCTATCATAACGGCAACTCGCACGCTCTAATCGCTCGAACTTAGGGTTGACATGAATGTGTGAGTAAGGTCATCGGCGATGCTTAAATTTAATTATACAATGTGTGTCTGCATACCTGTTCCATCTTGTCCCTGACCTCCGGGAACTCCCTGACGACATCATTGAAGTCCTCCACCTCCAGCGAGTACAGATTACAGTAGGACTCTGCCCTGATAGAGGCTGTCCTTCTACACTTGGTCAGCAGACAGATCTCTGGAAAAGAAAGCAACGATAGAAGGTTGCTGTGCTAGTAGCACAGTTTTTAAAGACCACAGTGAAGTAACAAAGAGCTGTTTTAAAAAATCATTTTTTTTATTTAATTTTTTTTCCCATTTTTTCCATGTCTTTTTGTGATTTTTTTAGGCTAAGCATAACATTTAAAATGCAGTAGAACTAGATTGTAAATATGTTTTTTCAGTCATTCATGAATCTACACAAGTCTCGCCAATTTGTATTATCACCGAGACAGGGTTTGAATTTTTCTGGAATTCCAACCACAACCAAAAAAAGCTTCAATTTGATAATATACATGACCACCACGAGTTATACTTGAGGCAGTATAAATGACTGTTGAATGAATACAAGATTGCACGTATCAGGGTGAAGCCCTAAATGTCCCGACTGTCTTTTAAGGTCCTTGAACTATCATTCGCTTTGAAAAAATTAATGAAACATTTTTAAAAAAGTTTTACAGATATTTTTTGGTAGCTCATTCCCCAAAATGATGTGTAAAGTACAAAATGATACTTTTTGCATATATCAGAGTATCAAAGTGATCAAATAGCATGCCTCAAATCAAATTGTAGCAGACGGGAGAAGACAGTTTAAATCTCCATTGACGCGTTAATAGCGCGAACTATATCGCGCGTTGATTGTTCCAAATTGGCAATCTTTTGAAACACCATTATATTACAAAAATCCTCACAGGTGAATTATTTTTTCAAATTTGAGCTCAAGACAACAATACTTTTTAATTTATATAAATAAATTCCGTCAACATTGGTTAGTTAAAAAGCCGAAGTTTTTCCGAAGAAAAAAAACTACCCTAACAAAAATATTATGTCGTTTTTTTAAAAAAAAAAACGTCGGAGCATAAAGCAGTGATACTAACTTTAACTTACATTATTTACATACTAACTTTACATTATTTAAGTACTAGACAGCGTGTTCCACCAAAAACAAAACCAGCTAAAGAATACTCTGTTATGGAATCCTCAGCAAAAGCTTTCTCTGTCTGCTGTGATTTCCGATAGGTTACGATTAGAGACATTTATTGCACTACTTTAGTAGTAAAGAACTTGAAATGAACTTGAAGAAACTATGGCCGAACCGAGATTTGAAAATAACGAAACACAAAAATAAACAAGACTGCTCGTATAAGGATGAAGCCCTGAATGTTTTGACTGCCTTTTAATTTCTATGGAGAGTAATAACATGAAAAATTTGAATGTAAAAAAATTAAAATTAGAACTAAAAAAAATGACATTTTAAAAAAAAAAACATCCCCCACACGCCATATTAAGTACAATATGATAATTTTCGTTCTTATTAACAAATGAATTATGGCATATGAGCTTCCTTGAACCAATTTGAACGGTTTCTAAAAAGGATTAATTCTCCGCTTACGCGTTAATAGCGCAAAATATATCGAACGGTAATTGTCCCAAATTGACCAAAATGTTAATCTTTCAACCCCTATAGCTTGAAACTCCCAAAAAATGATCACAGGTGAAATATTGTTTCAAATTTAAGCTCACCACAGCTAATATTAATGATATATTTTTTTAAAAAATCCGTCAAAAATGGCGAGTGAAAAAATCGAAAATTGTCTGAGGAAAAAAAACCCACCCCGATTACCAATATTCCGTTACTTTCGCTACGAAAGTCGGAACAACAAAAAGTCAAACCACACAATTCAAATAAAAAACGTTCACGTCATCCGTTGAAAATTTACAAGCCTTCAGTTTTTTTGTTTCAAATTGGATGAAATATTTGTACTCGGTTGGACTTTTCATTTCTGCGGACAGAATACAAACAAAACAAGACCTGAAGATTTTCCCCCACACGCTGCATTAAGGACAAAGTGATCAATTTTGCTCCTAGTAACGTAGCAATTAGGACAACTAGTCTATTTCAACCTTTTTGGAATCATTTCCGAGACGGAATAAATCTCCGCTTACGCCTTAGCGCGAAATATACCGTGCGTTAATTGTAACAAATTGGCCATTTTATCAATCTTTAAACCGCCATAACTCTGATCTCACGTAAATAATTATTTTTTTATTTTTGAGCTCAAAACAACAATTTTTGTAGAAAGTAATAGTGTTAAAAATTCCGTCAAAAATTGCTAGTTGAAAAGTCAAAACTTGTCTGGAAAAATAACCAGCCGAGCACAATTATTCCATCAGTTTCTTCGAAAATAGCGGAACAATAATTGAAACTTTTTTTGGCTTTTCAAGAACAATTAAATTAATGCTCAGTCCAGTTGTTTTTCAGAACTTTTGGGTACAACCAAAACTTAAAAACTGATAGCTCACTTGTGACTAATTTTCATGAATTTAAGAAGTTCAAAATTGCAATATTGATTCCTTGTTTGTATATTGCTAATTTGGCCAATCTGGTATATTAAACTTGCATTGAACTTCGATTTAGAAAAGAGTAAGCGGCCAATAATCAAGCTCAGAAGTCATTCTGAATTGAATTGAATGGAGTAAAGCTTTTCGGTCTTATAAACACGTTCCTAGACAAGAAACATACCCATTTGTATATTTTATAGTTGTTCCAAACTGTTCCATAGATACTAAATTGCAATCGGAACATTCTGTGATTCCGCCTTGATACGAGCAGTCTTGTTTTGTTTTGAAAAACACAACCTTTGTGAAAACATTTCAGCATTGAGTATTTTGCTGGAAAATCTCAAGCCAAATAATTAAAGTTTTGCCTCCAATCTACATCTTCCTAGAACATTAATAGTATGAGGCAGCATCTATTTCTCATCACATAAATACTCAAAGTTGAAAAAATGCAGATGCGGCGAAATCATTTTTGTTTGCTCTTCTAAGCCTCGCTCACCCCCGAAGTATGCGCCGTCTGTGAGTTGTGCGATGACGTCATCGTCCATAGAGAGCACATCTACTGTGCCCTGTTGGATGAAGTACATCTTGGTGCCGAATGAGCCCTCGCTGAGGATGAGGTCGCCCGGCTGGAACACTTCGAACTTGAGTTTGGACACCACTCCACTGACGAAGAGGGGATCCGCCCCCTGGAAGAAGGGCACTACGTTCACCAACTCACGACAGTTGTAGTTCAGGATCTCCTAAACATCACCACATACGAACACTCCGTAGATACAGTAACATCGTATTGTTACTATCACTAAAACTTAATGAAGATCTTGGAGTGCACAAAATTTCGTTGTTTATTAAAGTAACTGTTTTCGAAGCTTGCTTTAAGTCAATTTAAAAACCTTTCGTTTTTTTGCTAAGCGACAGGCATAAATTCTTCTTGAAATGTTAAAAAATTTATGCAGATTCCTTCAGTTTTCATTGGATAGATTTAGCACGCTTGAGGGTCCCAAACAATAATTTCGATTGGCTCAGTTGGTTTGTTAATAATTATATCAGTGTTAGACTTTTAACGACGAGAGAAAATATGTATTCTGTTCAAAAATGTTTGTAGTGGAATTAACTCGTTGGAAGAGATTTTTTGCGTGAAAGAATTTAAGAGCTTTGAAGCTGCATGAAATCATGACTGTTCAATCAAAAGAGATCCAAGAGTTCTTACCTCTCTGAGACAGTCGTTGAGTTCCTCTAGAATGACCTCCTCGTCGAACATCTTGCCCTTGTACTTGTACTCATAGTACTCATGTACTCTCACTTGCAGATCGGGTCGTAACTTCCGATGACCCATGTACTCCTCCACTTGCTTCATCTACACATTCACAACACACAGTAAGTCAGTTGAAAAACATCAAAACTTTCTTTATTTCCATGATATGGTGATATTATTTCTCTTTGTCAGCATGGATATGAAAAACTTTACATGTAAGTAATTTGGGGTTTTATTGTGAATTAGAGGAAGCTGTCAGTTAGTTTGACTTGACAGGTTTATAACAGCACGAACAAATATGCGATTCCAATCAGACATGCAGAGTGAGACCAGGTCTGTGCCGTCGATCCCAAGTTGTAAATCCATTCACGCAGATTACAAGGGCAGAGGAGCGTGAACAGATTAGTAATATGATGATATAGAGTATGTGGTATGATACGGGAGGATTAGGAACAGGTCTTGTTCAGCCTTGTCTTTCACTGTCTATCCCTGACTTATATGGGGTCCCAGGGGAAATAAATTGGACCGGATGATATATGAGATGGTAGAGTTATTAGAGACCGTGCTCTGTGATCTAAATGATTGAAGAACAGACGTGTTCGCAAAACAAAGTCGAGATATAAGGAGAAGCGCTAAAGTACACGCAGTAACAGGGGCGGATTTAGGGAAGGGGCGGGGGGTCGTGTGCTCCTCCCCCTCAGGGATTAGACCCCCTGCCGACCCAAAGGGTCCCCCCTTTGTACTATTTTGAGATATCCCTTTTTGGCTGACTGACCCTAAACTTTTTGTAAAGGCGCCTTTGGCGCCATGTTATACTCTTTTTGAGGGGGGAGCGCGCGCCGAAAAAACGCAATTTTTTGGTCTAAATTTTCCAAAAAGTGCCTAAAAACGCCATTTTTGGCCTGTTGCCTGTTTTCTCAAAAACTTGCCTGCGGTGCAGAAAGTTTGGTCAAAATGGGGTCTTCATAGTGATTTGGGAGAGCTCAGAAAATCAATTTGGTCGACCTAAAAAAATTTGGTCGACTTAATTTTTGAAAATCCACCCCCCCCCCCCTTGATAAAATCTAGATCCACCATGCGGAGTAAAACTAGTTTTCCGGTCTTAATTTTTTTTGAATGAGTCTTGAATATTGGTTATCTAGCAAGACCATCATGCAATTAATTATTTGGCAATCTCTTGACAGGATATGATATAGATACTTCGTGTCAAAAATCTTAAAGATCTTAACCATTTGGCCATCGAATAGGAAAACCCGAGAAAAGGGAATCGGCAGTTTATCAGTTTCGATTATTACAAAGACAGTTTGCATGATTTGTCCTTAAAACGAAAGTCGAACTATGTATTCATTTTGAATTGGGCGTTGCCTTGATACTAAGACGGAGATTTTTGAAGTCTGACACCATTTGAACGATCTGAAACGACGCGGAGCTCCTAGTTTTAGACAACTTTGCCCCACAAATGACAAAGAGTTCAAAACCGTCCCAAAATTTGAAAACATCTCAGCATTTTCATTAATTTCAAGTAGTTTCAAGTTTTCTTTGCTGCCCATTTGTATAAACTTTAAAACATAAATTCTACAGAAACTAAAACGCTTGTTAAATCTTTTCAAAGAGACGTAATAGCTGTCATAAACTCTAAAATTGCAAAAGCAAATCATAATTGGCATAAACACAATCAAATTTTTATTACATAAAAAGTGTAGCTAACAAAAATGCAAATTTGAAATTTTCAATGGTACCCGGGTTGGCCTCCATACACCAAAAAAGTTTACCACACAAGTTTACCATACAATTCTATGATAAGATGATCATCCATAAACACTTCTGATCATAAACATTGTCGAAAAATCAAGATTGAACGTAATAATTGCAACCAAAGCAGTCACTGTTGATGAACCTGAAAAATTTGATTGCACTAAATTTTGAATTTTTTTTGGAAAAAATTGCTTTTAATACAATTATACTATATAAAAATTGTATGATAAGATTTTTGACGGCGACAAAAAAAACTTTTCAAGTAAGTTCGAAATTGCAGATATCTTTTTGGGCAGACCAGATTGGCTTACTACTGATTTCCCCAAAAACAGTAACAAAAAAGTTTTATAAATAAAAAAATTATAAGCGAAACATAAACTTTCGTGTCTGTGGCAACTTTGAAACCAGTAAATTAAATTTCATTTTATAAATAATAAATGCGCACTATTTTCATCCTAAACTTTTTTGAAAAGTATTACAAGAGAGACGTCTATCTTACTGAAGAACAAAACGAGAACAAGTGATATATTACAATAGGTGGCAGGTCTAAGTTAATTGGCTGGATCTTTCTTTGTTATGCTTTAAAAGGTATTTCAAAGCCACATTTGGCAAAAGAAGTCACAAAAAGGAGCTTTCAAATACAATTCTATCAGGCTGAATAATGAATTTTCGAAAGCTATCTTAGTAGCATGTACAATTCATTCAAAATGAAACGTCTATATTATGCATGAGAGTTCTCAAACTGAATATATGCACTAGCCAAATAGTTATCAGCATTATCACTCATAAAAAAATATCACCCGATAACGTTTTTCAACTTCACCAGCAAAACTATTTTGTGCTGTTTCATGCGCGTAGGTTTTAAGAAAAAATATTTTGATTTTTATGATGAGTTGAATTGAAAAAAGCAAGTTTTTAAACTGTTTCGAGGGCACCTCAGATAATAAAAAAACTCTGGTTAGATATTTAAAATACCGGATTGGTCTGCCAAAAAAAATCAGTACTGTTTCAGAGTAAAACTAGTGATATATTTTTTTCAGTACTGTTCCAGAAAAAACCTAGTGAAACAAGAAAAAACAGTACTGAGAAAAACTTTGAAACCTTTAATCGTGAAATTAAGAAATTTTTGCAACCTAAGAAGTTTTTGCAACCAAGAAGTTCGTTTTTTAATTCATGGGTGCTTATTTTGGCGATTCAAATTTGGTTGCTTCAATTGCTTTGAGACTGATAATAATCAGAATTTTTTTACTCTATGTTTTATCCTAATGGTTATTGGTTATGTGCATATTTTCATTGATTGTCTATAATTTCATTTTGCAATTTCTTTTTATAAATTCATTTGATTTTTTATTATCAAAACTGGTCTAATCATTAATTCTTTATAATTGAGTTTTAAAACCGATAGTTTTGGAGATTAAAAAAATTTCGGAATACTTTGAACTACAATTCATTTGATGGAAAAAAACTAGTCGATAATGAATGATGCATGGATGCAAAAAATTATAGATCTTTTTAAACAGTCATAAAAGTTTGAGTTTTGAGGTTAATTTTAGGTTAATTTGTGCACTAAAGCGTTTTTTTTTTTGAAGCTGCCCATATGTTTCAGACATTAGAATCATCTCGCTGAAACATGCTTTTGTCAACCCAGGTTGATGTCCATACAAAAAAAATGTCTATCAAACATGTAGACATATTAAAGATGGAGTCTATGGAAAATATGCTTATCATACAATTTTCAAAGAAAAAAATTGCATGACAAGCATTTACTCAATCGATTTTTTTGAAATTATTTTAAATTGGTTTAAAGCTCAAAAAAACAAATTGGTGGCCTTTTGGTATTATGAGAACAACTTTGCGAACAAAAAAGCTTTTCTGAACAAAAAAGATGCCTGCTAGAAAAACATCGATAGCAAAAATACAAATTTAAGAAAAAAAATGTATCCCTGTTTTGTTCAAAAAACTTGCTACTGTGCTCGAATATACGTTTAACAAGAAAAAAAGTTGCATGCAAAATCAGACTTTTTGTGTCTATTACAAATTCCAGCTAGAAAATTTCACCCAAAAAATCCAAAACTCACAAGCAAGTGTTTTTTTTAACAAACACAATTAATTTTTGTTTTCATATGCTAAGATAAATATACATTTATAAAAAAAAATAGTCCTCTTGTCTTCTCAATCACCAAAATTTTCAAAGTAAACGTTTTCTAGCCATATACAAATACAAAAAGTTACGTTTCTGGTTTATATTGCAGTGTGAACAAGTTAGCATTAACTTACATGGCTAAAATCACCAAATGCAGATTATCTGCGTGGTACCTGCCAGTTACGCTCTGGGTTTTCTTCGCTCAGAAAATCTTTGTTAGTTTGTTTCGGGTGAAACACAAGATTTTAAATCAATAAAAATTGTATTTTAATTTTCGAAAAAAATGCTTGTCGTACAATTTCATAGTAAAGCAAACATGCTTATCATACAATTTCAAAGTACAAATATTTGCTTTTGCCTTTTTCAAAAAACTTAATTCCAAAATGTGGCAAAAAAGCTTACAAAATTTTAGAGTATGAAATAAGTGCTTACCCTGCAATTTTCTTGCAATTTTTATCCGTCTTTGAAATGCTATAAAAAGCAAATTTTTCATAGTATGAAATTGTATGACATGTATGTTTTGTCAATGCGGGAAACTTTTAGTTTTCTTCAACATTTGTTGTCCTAGATAGCGTGAGGGAGGAAATAAATTTCAAGTTGGGAGTGCAGCTCTAAGCAATTATTTTTGCATACAATTTGAATCTAATGAACGAATAAATCTTTTGATGCATCCATTTTTCCTGTTATGTCTATTTTGTACTTTTCTCTTTAAAAATGACCAGATTTAAGAATGTTAGAAGGTCACTTTCAAATCATATAAAATTAATCATAATCAAGTGTTCCAACCAAATGTTACCATTCAATTCACACGGTTCTTTATTTACTCTTTTTCAAAATATAGACTGGGAGGACTTCATTAGGGTGCAAGAGCCTGTTTTCGGGTGCCCAAGTCAGAAAAAAATATAGACTGTTTTGCACTTGGAATTTCTCTGTTTTTTGCTTCTATAGTACATATAAAGATCGAGATCTAGAAATCGAAAAAGAAACAACAATTTTTTCCTTTTAAAGTTAATGAACCCCCTTTCTAGATCATCAAAAAACTTTGAACGTCTCCGTTGTTCAACAAATAAATTGTTAACTTATGATTGAAATTGTTAACTTGTTCCTTCGTGACAAAATTTATCCAATTTGGGGATGACCATGTTGAACATTTTTATGACTTTTATATGGTCACAGTTTCTATGGTGACAGTTTTTATTTAATTGTAATTTTTTAGCTACATTACGCTTTTTTTTGCAGCCGAGCGCTATCTCATCATCTTCAATAGAGTCCCTAAGATTGTCTATTTCCGATTGATTTCTTAGAATTTTGGTCAACACTTTCAATATTTCAAATGCAAAAATTTCTGTTAGCAAAAACTTTAGATTTTTTGCTATTATGTCGAGCTGTGACTCGTGTTTTAAGTTTGTAGAATATTATTTTGATAATACGTTTAGTTTTAATTTCAAGAGGTGTGATTGATGAGATGTCAGTGTTAGCGTATTCAACTATTCCTACTATATATTTTTCTACTATTACATGGAAATGAAGCCTGTAATAACTTTATTTTCTTGACTGTGTTTATTGTTCATTTGCAACAATCGACTAAATGACACGAGATTAAACTGAAATCTCTCAATATAAACTAAACAGCTGTCTTTTTACTACCTTCTCTGTGTACTGTCTTCTGGAGGAGTCAAACTGTTGTATCATGTTGGTGGCATGTCCGATGAACAGGGCGTAGCAAGTGGCCCCACTCAGCATGCTGACCATGACCAGCCATAGGTCCATGAGGGAGGTGGGTGGCTGCTGGCCATAGCCTATGCACAGCATGTGGGACATGGCTCGGAACAGGGCCCAGCTGTACTGCTCCTCCCACTCGGAGTCCTACACATGAACAAATTAAACTATTAAAAAGAGTTTTGGAATTAAATTATGGTTTTGGCGGTGCGCAGAAGATCTATCAAAGGCTAGCGCGCCTGTCTAACCATAGTCCCTTTATACTGTTTCTGCACATCCTTGAGTTATTTTACTGGGCAAAGCTTTTTGTTTGCGATCATGAATCAAAGAGGGATCGGGTTGACAAAATTGCATCTTTTATCAGGAAATCAATCGTATGGTTTTATTGGATGAAACCTGTTTACAAAAAGTCTAAGAATGGCATTGGGACTCAAAAATAGGTTAAAACTAGTTTAGTCCATGTGGCAAATTTTGATTCTCAAACAAGATGATCTTATCAGGGCGAAGCCCTGAAAATTCAGACTGTCTTTCAAGGTCTATGGAGCAGTAATAACATGAAAAAATTAAATGAAATAAAATAAATTGATTTTTTTTTAATTGTTGGATTTTTTTGTGAAAATCTTCCCCCACACGCCATATAAAGTGCAAAGTGATAGTTTTCGCTCCTAGTAACAAATCATTATGGCAAATAGGCTTCCTTCAACCAATTTAGAACAACTTCTAATACGAATCAAAATTCCGCTAGCGTGTTAATAGCGCAAAATATATCGCGCGTTAATTGTCCCAAATTGGTCAAAAAGTTAATCTTTAAACCCTCATATCTTTACCAAAAATGATTACAGAAAATATTTTTCAAATTCAAGCTCAGGACGAGAATACCTTTTGAATGATATAAAAATTTGTTTTTCAAAAATGGCTAGTTAAAAAGTCGAAACTTGTCTGAAGAAAAAAACCCCCGAGCACAAATATTCCGTTAATTTCGTTTAAAAAGTTGGAAATAAAAATTGATGTTGTCAGTTTATGAACATAGCGAACAGTTTGTTGGAAAAGATCCTTGAACCGAAGGAAAAGGAGAACATAATAGTGACATGTTTTTAGAGGAAACTTCAAATTTCCAATTTCAATAAAAAAGTAGATAGCTTTATGATTCTTTGAAATTAAATTGCATTTTGATAGACACTTTTTTTGTGGAAATTAACTCAATTTATGAAAACTGGATCAAAAGGTAAAATTTTTATTTTGCTGGGAAATCTGATAATTAAATTCCATTTTCTTAGAAATCGATCACGTTTTTCGTGACCTTTACTCTCTCACTGTTCGATAGTTGAATTTGCCTTCCTTTTAAAAAAAATAAGCTGAAAATGAAATGAATTGATAAATCAAAAGTCAATGCGCTAATAATCAAATTTGAACGTGAACAATTTTCAAGAAATTTTCTGGAAAAAAATCAGCACGATCTATTACAGAGTTTTCACTACGTTGATTGACTCTTAAAATAGTTGACCAATTTTGTGATTTGTTTTTTAATAACAAACAAGACTGCTCGTATCAGGGCGAAGCCCTGAATGCTTCGACTGCCTTTTTAGGTTTATGGAGCAGTAATAGCATAAATATCATTAACAAATTGAACGTAATAAATTAAAATGAAAAATGAAAATCATCCCACCACAAGTCATGTGAAGCAGAAAAGAATAAATTTCACTCCTTGTAACAAATCAGTTATGGCAAATAAGCTTCTTTCAACTATTTTGGAATGATTTCTAAGACGGATTAAATCTCCGCTTACGCGTTAAATGCGCGAAATATATCGCGCGTTAATTTCCCAAATTGACCAAAATGGCAATCTTTAAACCCCCATAACTTTACGAAAAATGATCACACGTGAACTATCTTTTCAACTTTAATCTCAGGACAACAATTTTTTTGAATGACTTAAGAAATTCCGTCAAAAATGGCTAGTTAAAAAGTCAAATTTTGTCTGAAGAAAAAAAAACCCACCCGAGCAGAAATATTCCGTTACACTCGTATCGAAAGTCCGAACAATAATTTTCATAATTAATTTGTTATTTTTTAGACGAAAAAAAACGGCTGTTTAGCTGATGGTCACAACTTTTTTCAACTGATCGTAAGCATTTAATTTTTTATTTTGTTTCATCAATTTTAGAAAGAGAAAACTTCGGACAGAAAGTAACGTGTGTTGAATTCTGTCAGCCAAGTTCTTCGGCTTTTTTCTTATTGGTTTGAATAGATTTGCTTCTCCGCGTGATCATTGAACGCCCTTGAGGCATCTCTATTTGACACATAATGCCAACAGCCCAACCACATTTTCATTGAGAAACAAAATTTAATTTGACAATTTGGTCCAAGCAAAAAGAAGTATCAGGTCAGCCTAATTAATCAGCACAACGGGTTTGACTCCACTGATTGGAAATGACGTAGTCGTAATAATTTAAGTTTATTGAAAACAATTGAATTTTTCATTGATCAGGTGTATTCAATAATCAAGGTACAAAACAGAAGCCAATTTAGGGTTTTGACGCCCTCAAAAGTGCCAGCCTGTTAACAATTTTGCCATATGACAGTTTTTTGCCAGTTGCTTGACCAACTCTAAATTTTTTCCGGAGGCGCCTCTGGGTCCAATATATATCAATTTTGTGGGCAGACTGCGCGCCGAAAAAAAACGCAATTAATCAGTCAGGTCAATTTTGTTTATGAAGTGGTCACAGACTTTTTATAGACCAATTTCAGGTGAAAAACAAAGTTAAAAAGAGAATTTGGACAAAGGTCGGCGAAAATTTTTTTAGGGGGCATTTTTTGGAATTCCAACCGTCTCGAGAAAATCCTAGATCGCTTTTAAACAACTTACCAACTTACCAAATAAACCAACTTTTCCAGGGGGCAGCAAGTTTCTATGACATTCAATCTCGTTTTTTTCTCAAAATATTAGGAAATAGTGTGGGAAGATTATGAGAAAGAGAAGGCTGAAATTAAAACAAAATTCATTAATCGGATTTATGGAACTCCTTGTGAAACCTAATCTAAACTACATTTTATAATTGGATACATTGGATATTTTACCACTGTAAAATATTTAATATTAACCAATCATAATCCATCTAACTAACAACCCACTTATTTGTAAGTGCTGAAATTACTTGTAATTTCAGCACCAGAGAGATTTGAATTTAACTTAGAAATTAGTTGACTCTCCAAGAGAACTTCAGCAGTTGCAATAAGCCAGTATACTCTAGATCTATTGAGCCTAGCAGAGACTAGTTAAACACCCTGAGACTAGTAGATATAAGAGTAAGATTAGGATCGGTATTAGACTAAGAAGTTGCACGAATCTATCCGGCCGAAAATAAGATAGCGTGACGAGCAGACGGTGTACCCTATCCGAAATTACTCTATGAGTTAACCACATCGGTCCTAACTCATCTGGTGCGACCATAAGTCTCGAATAAGACCTTAATAGCTTAGAATTAACCAAAAATAGATTAAAAATTAGACAAAACATTTTCAAAATGTTACACAATAATAACTTAATTGAAATGTCTCTACGACGCAATAGATCAGAGCCAATATTCCAAACAATACTAGAACTATGTTGCAACAATTATCCTAAATGTTGCAAGAACTCAAGAATCCATAAACAAACAAGGTAAAACAGCAGTGCAACATATGAGCTCCAAGAAAAATCCATGTTGAGTAAAATCCATTTTCATGGGCAAAAAACTCTAACTGAAAAGGTCGACCTGAATAGTATTAACTTAAGCCACTAAGTGAGAATGAACGAGAACACTGAGTGCAGTAGTGTTGAGTGTACCTTGAGTCCGTCTATGACCACCCAGGAGTCAGGGGGGAAGTCGTATATTCTGGGGAAGAGGAACATGAGACACCCATTCCAGTGGCTGATCAGCACCATCATGAAGATCAGGTTCAGGATGCGGATGGCCGCACTAGCCAGGTTGAACACCTACAACACACACACGATAAACTAGGCTGACAACTTGTTTCAAACAGGAACCGCATTTTAGTCTCCAAAAACACCACGAGGGATGAGATCTCGTACTTTTGTAGCAATTTCTGCGTTCATTTGCAACCCACTCACATCGGCATTTTTTTCAATATTACGTTGTGCGAATCACCTCGAAGAAAGTTAGCTTCGTTTTTTTAACTTCAACTCAATTGGATCGAGTTTGATGGCAATTCTAGGTGAAACTTGTCTGTTATACATGCGGCCCAAGATTGCTATTGATCGTTTTAATTAAAGCTGCTGTAAGTTCTTGACATTTGCACTTTTTCTTAGGCTAAAATGCCCAAAATGTCCCTCCTGTACAAAAAAAAACATTATTATCTTTGTCTATTTTTGTACTTTTGACATGTTCATCAAAATAAAAGAATCTCCATTCCAAATCAATGAGCCTCAAAATTGCAATCAATCTGCAATCAACCATATGGCAGCCAATTTTCCCTTAAAATCACTCGCACTGACTTGGATGCCAAGTTGATTACATCACAGGAAGTTACGTAACCTCCCCTCCAATAGTGAGACTGACAGATGACGACTTGGTCTGTCTGTCTTTTATTTGTTCAGCTCCAGAGGGCAAACGTCACAGCAGAACTAGCTCGAAGGCGACCATGAAAAATAGTTGTGTAGGTGCTTCAAAGGTTTCAGGTGTTTTGTTTGAAATCAGCGGTGTAATAGTAAAAACAACCTTCGGAAACGCTCTCATATCAAATGGGCTATTAGTATTTGAAGTTCATGATGATCGGAAATGGTATTGTACCATCAAAGCAAATTCATTCACAATGAACACAACATGCAAGGTTTTTTCCAGCCCTGCATGAGATTATTGAACAAACATTTTGAGAAAACTGTTCGCCTTTAATTATTTTTCAAGAATTCCGAATACAATTTTAAGGTGAAAGTTCTGTGCTCAATCTCTGACTAAAATACTCCAATTCAGTACGAGGCCAAACTGTGCACTGGATAGGCGCACAATTTTGTGTCTGTAAAAATTAAAAGAGACGAGCAAGTGACGTGGATGTGGATGTGGATGGTAGATGGATGCAAACTCACATCTTCCCACTGGGTCGCATATCTCATGAGTCTGGACACTCTGAGCAGTCGCATGAGACTGAGGAACTTCATGAGTCGCAGCATCTTCAGGGTCCGCGAGGCATTCAGTATCTGCGGACCCCCACTGTCGCCCTGGGAGATGATGAGGAAGATGTAGTCCATGGGCATGGAAGAGATGAGGTCTATCCCGAACCACCCCCTCATGTAACTGGCACGGATCACCTGGAAAAGAGAGAAGTCTCATCTGCTAATATGAAACAAAACATGACAGTAAAAAAATAGGGAAAAAAATCAAAAATCAAGAAAAATACGCGTTGTTAGAAAACTGGATATTTCATTAATTTTCCCAAATCAGTCAAATTGCACCTTTCAAATCCTTACAGCCTCAAAAATGATCACTGGTGGTCTTGCAAGCTTTGAGTACAGGCATAAATAATTTTACGAGCTAATAAATGAATCCCATCATAACTGTTCGTTAAGAAACCGAAATTAGTCAGAATGAAGCGCACCAAGGAGAAGTATGACGCCAATTTCTCCAAAAGTCGGAACACTATGTCTTCTATTCAAGTAAATCAAAGGCAATCACGCAGGAATACATCATACACAACATTGCTGGAAAAACATTCAAATAATTTCTCAAATTAGTTTTGTCCGCTATTGTTAAAGGCGTTCAAAAGACTGAGCAAAGATGGCAGAAACTGATTTTCAGATAACGTTCTAATTAGCATATTTCTCAAATGGCATAAAAATATAGTTTTTGAGTTTCAAATGCTTTTCATCAACTAACATTTCTCCTTTTTATCAGAAAAAACGCATGCTAATAAGCAAGGCAGATTTTTTTTTGGGGGAGGGGGAGGGGGGGTTTGCGTTGACAAAAAAGGTTGACAAAATTGGGATTTATGTCATTTAAAACCTGATTTTTCAAAATCCTGTAAAAGTGTTTCATCATAACATCACTTTTTCCATATAGTGATTTATTTTAGATGATTTATTTCAAGTGACAAAAAATTCATGAGCTTATAAAAAATAGTGGTAAAAAAATTCTTCTCAATTTCTAAGTAAAGAGGATTCAGATCTCGGTAATTTTTCTTCACTGAAACATGTTACTATAGAAACAAAATCCGTTTCTGCTTAACGATTGAGCTTGTTTTTATGGGGGTTGTTATCGTTCCAAAATTCGATGAAAAGATAGAATATATATGCTCGGAGCGGCTTTTTTGGTTTGTTGTCCACCCCCCTTTGAAGGAAGTTTTTTATATTATTCGATGAGTAGTGACGCCCTTTGTCAAAACTGAATAGATTTTTCACCTGTGATCATTTTTTTGTTCAAAATTTGCTCAAGATCTCAGGATCTTCGTGGGCCACACCACACCACTTGATTAGCCTGCCAAGAAGCTACCTAAACTGCTGATATTATTTTTTTTGGTGATAAAAACTTACCACAATTTAATTAAGTTTGGTGAATTATCCCACCCGCACATTCAAATTGAGTTGAGACAATGAGTTGTTCGGCCTTATTAACTCCTTAAACGATCCAAGTTTTTACACTTTAAGTTTTTTCTTCTCAGCCTTAAATTCAAAGTTTGTGGATATTTAATTTACCAAAAAATAGTCGAGACTAATTAAAAAGTTGTCAAAACTTTTAAAGTTTTGCCCTGATATGAGCAGACTTGTTGTAAGTGTTGGCGGTTTGATAACTGCCAATCTGGCTTTTTTCTGGCACAATCAATTATAGCGCAATTTTTTTGTTCTATTAACTCGTGAGCAGTGCTTTCATCCAGCTTAGATGTCGTTTCATATCAATTTTGAGCAAACTATTTGAAACTCTTAATGCGTTGCTAGACCCTCAAATCATCACTTTCTACTTTACATAGTGCTTGGGGGAATATTTTCAAAATTTATATTTTTCCTTTGTCTAAAATTTTAAAACATTTTTGATTTCCTCGCACACTTACTTATAACTTGGCACTTAAGGAACATTTGAAGCTTTCAGGGTTGTGTCCTTATACGATAAGTCTTGCTTTCTACTAAATGCTATAAGGGGGAAACTTTAGAGAAAAATGATGTTGCAATTTACTTGAAGTATTAAGAAGTCAAGTCGGCGTTTGTGGGGATTCTATGATTCGTGACTGCTCCAAATAAAGCAAAATTTTTCGAGCAAAATTTTTCTGGCAAATTACTCGAAAGCAAAATTTTAAATATTCAAATTTATCACAATTTTAACAATAAACACTTTAAAATTTTTGTATTTTGTCTTTTGAAATGTTCGTTTGACTGAAAAAAAAATTGTCTATTTCTGAGCAAGTTGCACACAGTACAATATGTTCTGACCGAAACAATCAATGAGAAATGTTTTTTTACACAATTTTAAAAAGTTTTCTCATAATTTTCCTTCCGGTTTCTTGGATAGTCGATCATTGTAGTGGAGTTGCAAAAAAATAGAGTTTAATCTGAAACCAAGTAAATTCACGTTTAAGAAGTCAACATTTGCGTTTAAAAAACTCAGGACCGTTTTTCTCAAAACTGATCAATTTCAAAACATCCTAATAGCACTCGACATTTTTGAGGGTGGTCAGAGAAACAGAACGAACATTGAAATGGGGAACAGCGACACGGGTAAAATAAAAAGATTAACTCACCTTTGGCTCCAGTACCACTTGCACGGCCATGTGTTGTCTGGGAATGCCTGTCCTGAAGTTGAGTAGGATGTCTAGAATGAAGATGGAGTCGTTGACGCAGTTGAACACTGCCCACGAGTGGCTGTTCTCCTCATTAAAGAAGGCGATGGCCACTGGAAGCACCACTAAGTTGATGATCAGCAGCATCAACATGATGAAGTCCCACAGGAATCTAGACAAAGCCGCATTTGAAATTTAAAAACGATATTATGCAAAAATAGGTAGATTATTTCGGGCGTCAACAAATTGAAAACAGACAGCTCCGCGCATTTTGAAGCTGCCTGTAATTTTTTGTTCCGACCACTTCAAGAAATGACAGGGGGGAGGGGGGGGGGGGGCTATGACGTGTATTTTCTCTCCAATTGAATATAAAAGTTACAGGGGATCAAGTTGGGAATCACATTAAACCCTTCCAGTTAGGGCATGGATTTCAAGAAAACTCAAAAAATTGCTTGTGTAGAGAAAAAGTGGTCTGGATATTGATCATCAATTTGATAATGAATTCAGTTTAGGGGCCGACGTTCAAAATCAATTTAATTTTATTTACGATTTTAACGTTATTTCAGCTATGCCTAGACCACTGATTCTTGCATTTTCATTAGCTTATCTAAATTAACCAGACATTTAGACAAAAAAAGTTGTAAGTTATTGTAAGCCATTCAAGAATAATTGTAAGTCATTTTGAAAATCTAGTTTTTTCAGGTCCAAATTGCTCTTGCAGCAACAGTCGGATAATTATTCTTTTTTTGCTTTGCAACCAATCATTCCTACATGGCATTGGTACCTCTTATTCGATTGTTTCCATAAAGTGTGTTCCCATTCGTAAAGCAGGTCAAAACTTTTATTAGAATATCAAACACTTTTGATCTGCAGACAAAACATGGATTGTCAATGGGGCTATTTTGAGACGCTTTGCATAACATATCTCAGAACATATCAATTATTCAAACTCTGTTTTCATCACAACAACCCCACTTGACTCTTTGACTTCATAATCATATTCAGAATTAGATTCAGGGCGTCATAATACTAACGGTCTAAAGTAAAGCAGAGACTACTGGCTTATGCCAAAAAGGTTGCGCATATTTAGAATACTTTTAGGTGTTTTTAATCTGTCCACTATTACCTCTATAGTTGCAACTCAAAAAAGCCTGCCTCATTTTATTTCGAAACATTTTCTCAGCTGGATTGCTTGCCGCCTACGCGTTTTAGGACAATACGTATCGCGAATTATTTTTCCCCATTTTTCATATTTTAAGACCCTCATAGTTTCAAAAAATGTCACAGCTGAAATAGTTTTTAAAATTGAGCACTACCTTTTGAATGATAAAAAAAATCTCAGAAAATGTTTATCCAAAAAGTCTTTAACTATCCCCTTCTCCTTTTGTAAAAGGGACAAAGATTCGTTACAAGGTACAAAAATTATATACGCTTAACTGTTGAATTAGTTCTTTATAGAGGTGGCAATTCGTTTTTAGGAACCATAGAGAGAAATAATTGTAGAGATCCAACAAGACTGCTGGTATGTTAGATCAAAGCCCTGATTGTTCCGACTGTCCCTTAATTCATATCGAATATTTGTGGGAAAAGAAAATATTGAAAACCTATAAATTTTAGACAATATCAAAGTGTGAAGTTTTGAGTCATACGAAATTAATACCCCCGATTAGCTAGCCTCAATTCAATTTAGAACAATTTTGTTGTGCGGGATAGTTCACCACGCATAAATAATTTGCGTTACGTTTATCGCATAATGATCAAAATCTTCAAAGCGCGCGTAAATTTGTCCAGAACATGGCCAATTTGGCATTTTTCAAACCCCAGAGTTTTACAAAAATGATCGGAGGTAACATATCTTAATAAATTTGACTTAGGAAGTCGAAACCTTCAAAAGAGTATAAAAAATTGTATAAAAATTTTATTTCGATTGGCGAAAACTGACTGAATAAAAAAAACCACACCGAGCATAAATGTTCTGTTTTCTTCGAAAGTCGGAACAAAAAGCGAAAGTTGACTAGAGAAAAAAAAACCTCCTCGAGCAAAAATGTCCAATTGCTTTCTTCGAAAGTCGGAACAAAAAATTTGAACTGAAATTAAACAAAAATCAATATTCAAACTATCGAAAAAAAAATTTTAATCGAAACAAACGAAAAAAAACTACACAACCGAAATAAGTAGAAATATCTATTTATTCATGAAATATCACATTTACTCATTCAATCCATTGAGTTTATTTTCTGGCAAGTTTAATTTTCCAATCGTCTCATTCTTGACTACAAAATTGTGGTTGATTCTTAATTAAATTTTTCCAATTGTAGTATAACAACTTTTCCCTTAGTAGTATGACGCAAATTAAAACTTCAGCCTAAGTATATTTGCAGGACAATTCTAAGGTGGAGCTTCAATCTGTCAAAAAATAAACAGGCAGGTGCCTTATTGTCCTGGATCTCTCGGATTAAACAGAATATCAATTCGAGTAATTAAGGTCATTCAAAAGGTGTCATATCAATTGAATTACCATTTGGGTATAATGCAGATTCATTAGGTAGGTTATATGCCTGAAGGATGGTAATTCAGTTCATCTTAAAAATTTTTAGATTAAAGCCAGCAATCAGCAATTTGCCAGATAAAGCCCGATCCAAATTGGAAATTGATGTTTGCGCAATTGTTTATTGAGTTTTTACTCATCATTTTCTTATGAAAAAAAAAACAACCGTTTTTGAACTTGGCTCTTAGTTTGGAAGGATGTGAACTAAAAAGCAATCGTTCGATAGTTGTTTCTCATTTGGTTAATGGAGCAATCAGCACCCCGGAAAACGCTGATTATGGAGTGCAGTTTTATTGAACTTGATTGACGTTTGTGATTTTTCTCGCAAATGAAATGCAACTTTCATCGACACGAATGATAATTTTTTAGTCTGAAATGATGGAAAGGAAATAAAGTACGAGCACCATAATAGTGTTCATGCGAAAACCAAAATACTTCCTGTTTCGATCAGTAGTTACCTTGTATTTTTTACCGTTTGATTTAAAAAGAATCTGTAATAGAAAAAATCATAAACATCATCCAATGAAAAACATAACCATTTGAGAAAAAGGCTTTCGATATCTTGCGTAATTTTTTCTTCAATCTGGTTTGAACTTAAGCATTTTTCCCACTCAAAATTAATTGTAGTTTTTTTTGTTTTTGTTCAAAGCTGAACAACGAAATGAAACAAAATAATCGAAACAAGAAGGATTAAAAGAATTTGATTTTTATAAAACTTTAAATTTTGCTTCAATGAAAAAAAAAACAACGATGTAAATTTGTAAATAAAAAACAACTTCAAATCTTTACCCACACGAATTGTCAAGTACAAAATTGTCTTTTGCTTGTATAATAACGAATAAATAGAACTAATAGTTAGCTTGCCTCAATTGATTTAGGAATGCCCAAACAATTTGCTTCATTCAATTATCCTCAAATGGATACTTTCAAACCCATAACTGTTACAAAAAATATTGCAGATACTTTTTTTTTCAAATAGTGCAATTAAAGGTAAACTCGACTCTAAAAAAACTCTGGATAAACCTCGAAACTGGCGGTGTGCCGACTAGCATGAAGCTCACTTGGAAAAAGTTACTTTAAATAGCTCAAGAAGCTCACATGGAAAATTTTAATGCTTAGCGTAAAGTATATTAATTGTTTTCAGGTGAACTGATTAGTCGTGAGAACGGAAATTTAGTGAAGTTCAATTTTGAAGGCAACCAGGTAGTTCAGCAATTTCAATTTATCTGCACATTTTGTTTAAGCACACATCAGTCAAGATAGAGATCGACAAGGTCAACTGGAGGTCTCCAGACAGAATTCAGCAACATTTTATTAGATTAAATACCCATAAATATTAATAAACAAAAAAAAGAAATATTCTGTCAAAACATTGAATTTTATGATTTTGATCGAAATAAGCGATCTGCATAAAAATTATGAGGAGGAAGAGATTGTATGAGTTCTACTGACCATCATCAAAATTCAGAAAATTATTTGACTTAAGAACAAAGCAAATCATACAGTAGCAAGCTGCGGGGCGAGTGGACCCCCACAAACCTAGTAGCCAAGCGACAGCTTTTCGGTCAAAAACTCCAAAAAAACATTACACCCGATTTTTTTTCACAAATCGTCAAATATGGTCGTTCTAGGCATTCTACACTTAACTACACCCAATCACTTCAGCCCTTTCCTATCAAACTTCCTTCTATAAACCTCTCCATAATTCGCCTCTCCAAAAAGTTAACAACGCTAGATCAACATATGCTTTTCGCAAAAAAAAACTTTTTATTCAATGTGGCAACCTCGTAGTAATCGAATCATTTAAATATAATGTTTATTTCTAGTTTTAAGTACAATTATTATGCTGTTTTTTGGTTGTGTAGCTTTATGATGCTTGAAGACTAGTCGAAAAATTTAAATGTGGAAAGTTTTCAGCTAATATTTTCAAAATATTTATTAGCTGTAATCAATATTTTCAAAGCAATATCATGAGTTTTTGCGGCTTAAAACAATTTTTTTTGTCAAAATTACTAACTTTCTAACTTTTGATTTAAACTTGCAAAAAATTATTTATTATGGTTAAAGTGGTCATAAAAAATGATTTAATGGGTTAATGGTCATGACAAATGATTCAATTTCTCGGTCGGTAATATCCATTAAAATAGATATTTTCCACGCATATCTTTATTGCGGGTAGTTTGCGTCAGCCAAAATTGCAACTGTCAATTTCTAAAAAAAATTCTATCCCAAAGAGATTTTGTTCCGAGCACTGAAAATGCGCAGGAGTTTTTTATTCGGGTGTGTTTTCAACTTTTTCCTTCTTTTCTTTTCGAGATCATCAGGTGCAGCAAAATTAGGTGCAACAAATAATTGTCAGAAGGGTTCGAGTGATAAATCATCTTAAAGCACTTTGAGTAGTGATGCGAACCGTTGAAACACATTCAAAAATGATCTCAGTGTAGAAACAAAAACTGTTTAAAATTTTTGATTTTTCGTCTGAAATCAATACTCAATTCATCACTTATCAGAGCAGACATTTTGTTCTTTTTTTCAATCGCTTTCGTGAGAATAATGAATCAAACTCGGATAATTCCTCAAAAATGTTCTTACAGCTACCCTACTGTTTATTTTGTATTTGAAGCAAGACACTAAAAATCTTATTTAACTTGGTAAAACTTGCCTAAATTATACGAAATTTGTCATGTGATAACTAAGCCGAAAAAACAAAGACAAACAATAGTGCCAAAATCAATTTTTTTGGCAAAAATTTTTTTTAATTAACAAAACAAATTTGGATTTTTTGTACTGTAGAAAAGGGATTTTTGACGTCCAAAGCATCCGATCCATAACTTGAAGTGAACATAAGTCAAGCTGTCAACGTCGCGCCGATAGTTTGAGTCTGAGAAGTCTGGACATAAAGTCGCACAACCTAGAAATTCTGTTCAACGAGTTGCTCATCAAATCAACTCAGCCTGGAATGTAGGAAAAAAATTTCATAGATTCTTGAAAAGATATGCTCGCAAAATTCTGAACATAAAGTCGCAAAAGTGTGTTTTTATAAGGATTGATCTTGTTAATTTGGACTACGTTTAGACTGTGCTCGTTTGAAGGGCTGTTTTGGTATGCGAATTTTCAGCCCTAGTTTTTGCGCGTGTTCGACCGATTCGGTCAAAACCAAGTTCCGTCGTAACCTCAACAGGGGAGTTCAAGGTAGCACTGTATTGCACTCTCAATCAACAGATAGGAGCTGCAAATGCCAAGAAAACTTCGCAGTCTTTGTTGCTCTTATCGATACTGCTGTAATCTATCACTTGAGTGGTTGCTTTTTTGCAGCAAATCTGATCATGACCTTGATGGTAAATTGTAACTAGTCATGATCCTGATAAATTATACGAGCAAAGTAGTGGACTACAACAACAAAAGTGGGGGGGAGGGTTGTACCTGAAGGTGCTGTAGGGGTGAATGATCCAGGGGGCCTCCTCCTCACACCTCTTCCTCTCCTTCAGCACTGCCTTTTTGCTGCCGAACAACTTCAGTGCCAGTCTGTTCTCAGTCGGCTGGATAAAGTGACGAACTGACGACTTCAGCTTCCGAATGTGACCGGCGAACATCGGCTGTCATCATAGGCAATTTTCAGTTATAACTCCGCTCGCGAGAATTACAGTTATTAGTCATGATTTTCAATTCTGGCTATGAATAAGAGGAGCATTTGTTGCCTAATTTTAAATCCCAGCTGTTAAGTTCGTCATATATATACGCTTCTGAAAAACCTTCCAAAAACCCAGTTTCTCATTTTTGGACGTTTTCTAATAAACTTTAGCCCAGAAAAAGGAAGCAGCGTTTATATAAAAAAAAACTGTTTTTTTTTAAATGCAAAACAAGCTAATAAAAACTAATTCAGTCGATCTAAATGTGAGGTCAAACACTTTTTTGTAAAAACTCGAGTCGCAAAAATCCGGCCTCACCCCTGCAAGAGATTTTAGCCTGTAAAGCAAGAAGCTCCTGTAATGGAATAATATAATTGTCATGAACAATTTTCATCAATTACGGAACTTCTTGCATTTTCTTAAATTGGAGTGCTTTCAACTATCAATGCTAGGTATGAACAACAGAAAATTGCCTTTTTAGGCAGTTCGCTATTCTCCGCCTGTGGTTCCCAGAATCTGTTCATATTCGGAGTGCCCAGCAGCTCGGCTGTTTCGTAAGTCAGACTTGCGATCGTATTTGCATGTTTTAAGTTCGGCTTCAAAATCGAAACCTGCTTAGTGGGATTCGTCAAATCGATACTGTTTCTGCCCCCCGAGTTCGAGTAGCGTAAGGCTCCTTTTTGGCTGTAAGAACTCAAAGATGTCTGCGATTGGGTTTTGAAACTCTTGGGGTGAGTTTTGAAACTCGTTTTTCGTTTATGGGGGTAAAAATCAGTGTAGGCGTTGGCGGCGTTGAAGTCGTTCTCGGCACTCGCTCGGACGGATGAACTTCGGCCTAAACTGCTAATTGTCGGTGCTCGGGGTCTCGTTTGGCTTCTTGACGCTGGATAGCAGTCCACACTCGCCTGAAGTCTAAGAGGCGCCCGATTCGAACTAGAGGAAAAATTAGGCGAAAGGTTCAGATCGCCTAAAGTGGATGACGCAGCTAGTTTTCTGAAGCTGTTTTGGCTCCGAAACTGCTTTGTGAATAGATTTGGGGTAGCATTGTTGTTTGTTTTGGGGTCTCCTTGGACCCTTTCGGACGACTCGAAAAAAGAGCTTCTAGATTCTTTCGTTGGTACTCGGTCGGAAGAACTCTTTCTGTTTGTGCTGTCCAAATTTGACCAGCTAGTCCGGATAAAGTTTGGACTGAAATCTGCGCTTGATTTGTGAGACATTATTTTATAGCAGCTTCCAAATTATATGTATATCTTTTTAGGTAATCCAATATCCGATTTCGATATCCAATTTTCAGCAAGGTTTTTATCCAGCATGGAAGTGCTGCCAGTAGTTGGAATTGAAGATAAACATATCTGAATTCGAGCCAATAAAACAACGAAAATGCTTCTCAATCGACTTGCAGCACAGGAAAATATTATGAACATTTTTGATATATTTTTGAAAGGCTGGCCAAATAAAGTCAAATAAAAGGAGTCAACAAACCCTCTGGAAGACTGGACTATTTTTCCTTCTGGAGAGGACTTCCAGCTACGTAAACTATGAATAATGTACGCACACAAGCTCATACGCTGAAGTCAGAAACGTCAAATCTTCCAGCTGTCAAGTTCCTCTTCAGATCTTGAGACGAGAATTACTGTTTAAGAGTCATATCAAAGTAAAGAAAAGCTCGCGGGTTAATAAATAAGAGAATGGGAAAATGAACCGAAGCTCGAACTTGTTCAGATCAGATCAGGTAAATATACTGCGAGAATCCCGGACGAAGATTGAATAGATTTTGACCTCGTGTTCCAAAAATTGAGGAAATTAAAAGAGTTGCAGCTTTTCTTTCAAATTAAGAAGGAAATAAATGTTATACGGGTAGCCGATACGGAATACAACCTGCAAAAAAAACAATGAAATTCAAATGAAAGAATATTTTTCTAATGTTTTTTATTGAACAGCGTTAGTTTCTGTATTTAAAAAGTAATTCAGAGTGTTATGAAGGTAAGTAGTTGTAGCCAGTAGTGTATGAAAGTGTTTGAAATTAATCAAAAAATCTCCATTGGCTGGTCAGTCGACACAACTCCTGATTTTCAGCTGAAATTTTCCATCACGGCTCAAGTGCACTTGCTACTTCGAGTGATTGACATTGAACTTGAGAGGTCTACTCATATGTATCTATTCTGCTACTATTTTGATAGACTTGTTGCACCCTAGGGCAGTTAAATAGACTTCGATTTGAACAGGAAGAGGAAAATTGTCCGATCTGCAGGACAGTTCCGATCCGCAATAGAATCGCAAAAAATTGTAATTCTACTTCAACTTTACTCATCAAAAAACGATAGCGGTAACTGAAACCGGACAATTTTTGCTCGTAATTATCAGCATTTTCTTTTATGACCTAAATGCACTCAAATTTAGATATTTTATTGCGAAATACAATTCTCACGCGAAATTATTGTACTGATTTCTACAATTGAATATCAGATTACAAAAAAAACCGGCCAACTTGACCAAAAGTAGTCAATATTCAAGTCAACAACGATTTTGAAACATTAATTTTTGTTGGAAAATTAATCAACCTTCATAAGCGACTGCTGTTTGAAACAGATGCGTTGGCGCACAAGTGGGTGTTTATTTTTTAGTTATAGTCTAATAGGTTGCAATAATGAGGGCGCTGTGTTTAAGAGTTGCTATCTAATTTCTCAATTCCCTGAATTGTAAAAAAATTCTCAAAAAGACCAACAAAAATAGATTGATTAGATTTGAATTTGGTTGTTTGTTTGCTTATTTTTTGGTGTTCCAGAAATAACTAGCAGTAATGGCAAGTTATGATGCTCTCTTTTCTTCTCTGTGAATCTAACCTTTAATGCAAAAAGAGACACTTTCTGCTGCTATAGTTTGAAATTGTAAAATTAGATGAAGTAAATTTGATGGCAGACTTGTTAGCGTAAAATACATGTGAAAATAAACGAAATGAAAAACAATATAATGCTACATATACTAAAGAATATAACTACACAGCCAAAAAATATATTTCACAATAATTTTTTTTATTTTTATGGAGAAAAAGCCTAGCTCACCTGCCTAGCAAATCAATATCAATTTTGAACTTGATTTCATCTTCCGACAAGTAAAGAGGATCAAATTTCAGTTCCTTCATTTTCCATGGTAATTTCTGAGTTATAGATTACTAATAAGGCATTTGATATCTCTTTTAAAACAAACCGATTAGCTTTTTTCATCTAATAGGAACTTAAATCGACTGAGTAACACCAAACTGATGGAAGGAAAAACTGATTCAATGTTTGATTTTACCAGATGAAAATCGAGATATTTACAATACTTACACTTTTTCGCACTTTCATCAAACGGCTCTTTAAATTAAAAGCCGCGAGTTAAAAGATTTGATCTAAATGACTTTAAGTAGGGGCAGTGCTTGGATATTTGTCACCGATTATTGTCGGTATATACCGGTCAGTTTCATTGAAGTTAGCAAAGACACAAAAATAGCAGTTCTTTCAACATTTTCATCCTCCGGCGAAAAAGTAACTTTCAAGCAGATGAAGTCAGAGGACGTGCACCCACCCATGTTCTGCTGCTCCGTACAGGGCTTGGTAAAAGTCAATTGGTGACCAATTAATTGCAATTAATTGGATACAAATAATTGACTTCTTTGTTTTTCAATTTTTGACTATTGACAAAAATCCGCCAATTAATTGCAATTAATTGAAGGTTTGCTAACTTTGAAATTTATATGATTTTGTCTTTGAAATGTAAAGCTATTATTGGTTTAAAGTGTACAAAAAAATCAGCGGACAGTGTTTATCAAGATGTACGATATTTGAGGCCAACTTCCAACATGCCAGAAAGATTTTTCAAAGCGGGATTTGCTTATGGTGACTTACGACAGAGTATTTTGCCGATGAACCTTGAAATGCAGCTGTTTCTGAATGTTAACAATCAATTTTGGTCGAAAACTGACGTTGCTAAAGCTATGAATGAGACCCAATTAATTGCAATTAACTGATAATTGACAAAACTTGAGCAAACAATTCAATTAATTGACAGACAGCCTCCGTAGACATTTAATATAGACTTCAAAAAACGCAATCTATTCAATCATTACCAGAACAAACTGCCCTTTTGATACGCATACCGATTGGTGTCTCTAGGACCGTAAATTCCGGATACAAACGTCTAAATATGTTCCAAATCTTAAAAGAAACCCACTTACCAGATTATTGCAGAATTCATAAGCAAATAGTTGTAACAAAAAAATTGTCAACACATTATTGCCAACACGAAATCCCAAATGAGCGAATACAGCATGTTCTTCCAGACTCCGTATTTATGAATTAATTCGCAGTTTGATAGTTAATTTCGCAATTTACTGCGAATTCGGCAAGCATTTGTGTATTCCGCTGGCAAAGTTCTGATTTGCGGAAGCGCAATCAGCTGCTCACATGAATAAATATCTGTTTATGGATTCCACAAATTGTTCTGGATTCGGCGAATTCTGTTCCGGTTTCCGTAATTTCTCCTAATTTTTAAGCAGTTTGGGGGCAAGACATTGTCTTAGCCATTATCTTTTGACTAATTGCATTCACTAGATGCAATTGGATTATCAAAAAAGTTGTTTTGAACCTAGAATCCGGATACAAGTCTTAAAGCGTGTTTCAAATTGTAAAAAGAATTCATTTATCAACTTTTTGCGGAATTCACAAGCAAATACTTGTAACAAAAATTGTTCAACTCATTATAACTAACTCTGAATCCCAAATGAGTGAATTCAGCAAGTTCTTGCAGATTGCTCATTCGTAAATGCATTCTGCAATTTGAAAAGCGATTCCGAAAACTTAAACGATTTCCAAAACCGTTTGAAGTTTCTGCTGACAAACTACTGATCCGCGGCAGTCCAATCCAATGCGCAAATGAAAAAACTTGTTTTTGAATTCCACTAACGGTTGTAGATTCCGCAAATTTTGTTCCGCATTTCACAAGATTTTCTGTTTTTCGAGCAGTTTAAAGCAAGAAACTATTTTAGCTATTAGTCTAATAACTAATTGACTTAAATAGTTGCAATGGGATCATCAAAAACATTGTATTGATTTTTGTCTTATTTTTTCCGGAGTTCCTTAAATTAATAAAAAGTGTTTTTAATTAGTTTTCTCATTTTGTCGCAGACGTTTTCAGCTCATGAAACCAAGGGTTGATTTAGGGGAGGGGCCATTAACTTCTTAGGATGATAAAAACCTCGCCGACAAATTGATTTTCGTTTGAAATATGTACGGAGTCCATCATCGGTCGAAAAAAAATTTTTAACTTTGGCTGAATCGCTCTGCTTTTTTTAAAAAAATTAGTCGCGGTCACATACCTCATTGTTTCTTAATTGAATCTTTTTTGAATACAAAAGCATATTCTCAGTGCCGATTAAACGTTTTGTTTATTAGATTAATTGATTTTTTCCATTATTTTTATACAATTTTAGGATCAATTGAGCAATCTTCCCCCCATTGGGGGGGAGATAGCTCAATAGGTACTTGAGACATGTTTATAACCAATTCAAACTTGTTTGAATGACATAAAACTATAAATCAGGTTCTTCAATGATAGTGGAACGCCAAATTTACAATATCATAGCTCAAAAATTACACACAAAGTAAAAAAAAGCAAAAAAAAAACTAAGGCGATTTGGGTCGCATAAAGCGCCTTTTTTCTGTCCTAAATGGAGAAAAAACAATTTTAATGTGCTGCGGAGAACAGTTTTTAATATTCAGATAAAAGCCTAGAGCACTAACCATGGTAAGTCGCTTTGCTCGATGAGGCCATGGTCGCACAAACAAAAAATTGCAGAAAAAATTTTTTGAAAAATTTTCGATTATTTTCTTTTTCATTTTTTTTTCTCGAAACTCATAAAATAAACTTGACTCGATCGATTGATAGCGTGCTACGAACACATTAATCATGTACTTGCGTTTGCTGACGTCTCTTTGTAGCGTTTTGCCGTTTTTGCTGAGGGGGGGAAGATAGCTCAATTGGCCATTACAAGGGGGAGATTGCTCAATTGATCCCAATTTTATTCACTGACTAAAAGATTACGTATGACATAATCCTGTCTTAGATTTGTTGCTTAATTTTATAGTAGTTCCTGTTCATTCGTCGTTGATGATTTTTTTTGAGTCAGTTAATACTCATCATGATTTCTGTTTAAATTAAACATTTGGAAAACATATCA